GTGGAGGGTGTGAGATGAAGCTGGAGTTAGAAGCCAGTTAAAAGCAGGAAGAGCTGCAGGATGTGCAGGGAAACTGGATGAAGGGCACGAGAAATAGAGGTGAAGAATAACCCCAAGTTTCTATCCTGGGGTAAATGAACAATGCTACCACTTATTTGGGGTAAGTAATTCTTTATGGAGAGAAAAATCTCAGTTCTCCCTACTTCCCAATGTTTATTCAGTTAGCAGATATTTATTGAGCACCTACTGTGTCGGGGGCTGTGCTAGGTGCTAGGGAGCACAGCATGGATTTGAACAGGAACAGTCATTATCTTTGTTTCAACTTAATTTGCTTAAGAGTTTCCAAGACACTTCTCTGAATATTGTATAAATACACAAAATCAACTCTCAAGAGTTGATTCTCTGACTTACTGAATACTGAAATGTTCTCTGACTTAGCAGTTTGGAAGAGCTTAAATTTTCGGAAAGGAGTTATATATAGATTTGGACAAATGACAGATTTACCCAATAAAGTATTTGAAGACTGCCTTCAGATATATCAGATGAGACTGTCTCAACCAAATTAATGTGTATGAAGAGGCAATTTGGTGTAATGGAAAAGCTTACAAGACTAGAAAGCAGAAGCTCTGCGCCTGTCAATTCTGCCGAGTAGGTCACATGTATGACCTTGGCGTAGTCACTCATCTTTTTTTGTTCTTCAATAAAATGAATCTGTTGGATCTGATGTCTTCTAAAGAGCCTCTAAACATTATTTTTTTCCTTTGTGTTATTTCTTTTACTGGATTTTCATTCCTCTTTCTAACATGTAGTAAAAAATAAAACTCCAAAGTGATTCTTCTCTTTTTCAGAGGACCCATTTCTTTTTTTTTTTTTTTAAAGATTTATTTATTTATACAAGCACTGGGTACAGTCAGAAATGCGGGAGGGTGAGAGACTTCACCTGAGCCACAGCGGGGAGCAGAACAGGCAGAGTGACAAAGTACACTGCTGAGGGGAGCAGCAGGTGGCAGGAGAGGTCTGCGCGCCACGTGGGACCCTCGCCGGGGTCCGGGGATCGAACGGGCGCAGCAGAGGCTGCGGGCAGCTTCGCAGCCCAGTGCTCAACCGCTGAGCCACCGGGGAGGCCTGGACCCATTTCTTAAGGCAAAAAAAAAACTGGGCTTTTTTTTTTTTTGTAAATGGAAATTGCCATCTTGGATTTTTTTTTTTCTGCTTTAAAAAAAAAAGTGATCAGAAAAAGCAGTGTTCACCGTGAGTGTATCAGCAACATGCGTTGTATCCCAAGGGCTTAACAAATATTTGTTGAGTGAATGACTACTGTTACTATCTTATGAACATCTTACTCCCTTCTCCCTGCAATTCCTTTCCCTGGGGGTTGTGTAGCCTCTAAACCCAAAGAGGTTAGTTGTGGTCACCAGACAGAAACTACCAAGAGAACGTGGGCTCTCTTTGATGACATGTTTCACAACAGCTGATGTTTGCTAGCTATGGAATGTGGGGAAACAATAGCATCAAATATATCATTCTGATGGCCACAAATAATAGCAAGGGTGGCTTAGTTTGAGCAATATCAAGAAAGGCCACAAAACAGTCTATGGCTCAGCCAGGAGTGGTTCCTGCAAAGGAAGGGAAGGTAGGTTGTTTCTATGCTCCCATGCACACACCTTCCCCCCCACACTGGGGTATCATCCTTTTCACAGCTCCATAATGAGTTTTCCTAGGTACCTGAGTTCAACTTAGCATTTTTTCTTAAGAACCTAGTATCCTTTTGATTGGTAAGTCCCTTCTCAGTAAATTAAGGTGGTTTTCTGATCACCTCTAGAAATGAATGAATGTCAAATCTGGTCTGCAGACACATGCTGCATTTTTTTTTTCCCCAAATGGAATGAGTTGCTCAAATCTCATTGTGCTGAGATCGCTTACAATGTCTCCTCCAAGAACCACAAAGCCCTTGTGGGAAGAGGAACACAACTGGACATCTGAGTCACCAGCCCCATCGCCAGGCTGTAGAGCGAAGAGAACAAATAGCCAGCTTGTATGCATGTGTCAATAAAACCATGAAACTGCCTTCTGGCATTTCCACCATTTAAAAAAAAAAAAAATGGAATGAGCTGCTAATATTTGAAAAATTGGGATATTTGATTTAACACTGAACCTGAATTTTCAGATTGTTGAAAATCATTAGGTTTGGTACCACTGGGCCCTTATTCTATGGAGGTCAGCAGGGCAGCCTTCGGCTCCTTTTAATCAGCTCTTTTAATCCTACCCACCCCTGTTGTGACACCCTGTCTACTTTGCTCATTTACCCAAGTTGCTACCTTTGACCTAACTCATTCTGTAAAATCATTCAGGGGGCATCCAGTGAGCACCAAGTACTGTGTGAACCCCTGGGAATTCAAGTGCACACAAATACAGCACAATTCCTACCCTGCAGGAACTTGCAAACCTACAGGGAACAGGCTTACAAACCAGCTAATTATAAAGCAGAGAGCTAAGTGCACGACAGAACACATGCAACATGGCCTAGCGTCTGGCTACTACTGGGAGAAGCCAGTTGTAGGTTCCCTGAAGGTCATGACTGAACTGGGTTTTGAAGGATGAATAAGAGTCGGTGGGCATTATCACAAACATAAGGGTGGTATGGGAAGTATATATAAATTTAAGGGCTCCATTGTTAGCTGACCACTACACAGGTGACCCTCTCTCAACCAGCAGCTCCCTTTCCCTTGACTGACGTTGGTCTGTATACAACTCTCTGCCCAGGTCCTCCTAATCCTTCCTTCTGTCAAAACACGAGAGAAGATTCAACTCTACCAGGAAGAACCTGCCTGACTAATCCCTACTCACCTCCAGTTACTTCAGTGACGGCAACACTCCCATTCTGGGATAACTGGTTACTTGAGGGTGATTCTGTTATTTGAGCTCTTTGTTTTGTTTTAGAACCTCTGAACACATCAGCATTCCAAGCAATTATCAAACATCAATACTATATAGTGAATGCTTGCTGTCTTATATGTCAGTTTAGACCCCAACAATAACCCAGTTGAGAGAGAAAACAAGTACAAGTGAATTAAAAACAAAGAATATTATTCAGAAGTATTTATTAAGTGCCTGGTCGTTACAATGTTTTTAATCTCTCCATCCATCCAACATTCATTAAGCACTAGAAGGGCCAAGCATGGTGCTTAGCACCTGGAAATTAAGACATACTAAAATAAACAAGTCAGCAGGTGACATGGATAAGTAAATCTTTTACAGTATGTTTACTCTAGAGCAATGTTCAAAGAATAGTGACAATTTGGAGAAGAGAGTACTGAATGCTCCCAGGGACACTGGGCAGGCATCATGGAGAAGATAAGCTCAAACTGGTTATCTTGTTTGTTCATTTTTAAGATATTTTACAACACATATTAGCACAAATCTCCATTGACCTATATAATCCAGTTTCAACCATTAGTAACATATAGCCATTCTTGATTCTTCAGTGCCACACACACATCCCCCCATCCCTTCATTTTGTTTTGAAGTTCATCCTACACATTTTTATCATCTCATCCATAAATACTGTGTTTCAAGAAGGAAATGGAAAGATCAGGACCTTCCACCAGTAACACTCTTTTCCCCACCTATTCTTCTGCCAGTGAGTCTGCCAGCATTATATATTCTGATTCCTGCTAGTGACTTCAAAGCCTTCGCTGGTTCGGGGTAAAGACCCAAGACTTTATTGGAGCCTTTGAGTTGACTGAAGATTGAAATGATTCAGAGAAAACCCCAACCTGCCTTATGTACAACGCTGACCACATTCTTTTGGCCCTTGTTTCTCATAAAATTGCTAGTCCTTTAGAACATCTGTGCAAAATGCAGCGATATCCCACATTAGCATGTGCCCTTGCAACCTGCAGGAAAACCTCAAGATAGCATGGGGCCAAGCTGAGCCACCTTGCTTCCTGTTACAGGTTGATCTTCACTAGGTTGGAAGCCTAGCTGCATCTGAGCTATACCTTCCACCCCTGTTTCTTACCTCTTTGTGAAAGTTGCCAAAATCCAAGCATTAACTGAACCTGGAACATTATCCTGGATTTCCTCTCCCCCACAATTCTGTCTCTTCTTTTAAGCTATCCGCTACTGCTCACCTCCCTCATCACCCTTCCACCCAGGCCACCATTACCTTCCCTGCATTACTGTAATATCCAAGAATCTTTCTGTCTTTAATATCGTCCCTCCCATCCACCCTACTACGCCCCTCCACGCACTCCACGCCGCAGCTGAGTGAGCTTTATAGCCCCCTTGCTTGAAACCCTTTTAAGGTTCCTAACACCAGCAGATCAACACCAATTTCTTTGTCACAGCCAAGGAGGCCCTGCAAAATTTAAGGCTTTCCACTTCCTCTTTCAGCTTCATCTGCTACCTCTTCTCTCCAGCCCTCAACCAAAACGCTCTATTCAGAGCCTGCTTTCTCGGGTTTCTGTGCCCTTACCTGGTAAACCCCTTCTCCCTCGTAAATAACGCAAGGTACAACCACCACTGCGCCCTTGCAGATGCGCGCTACCTTACACACGTCCCCAACCATGCCAACAAGTCATCATCTACATTTTGCAGATGGAAACACTGAAGATGGGCACCTTACCCACCGCCACAGGGCTAACCAGTGGAAAAGCCGAGGCTCGGGGCTCCAGAGTCCCAGCCATCCTGCCTGCAGACCCCTCGGTTGCAGCAGCGATCACGCCCCACGGCGACAGAGCCGGGTTGAGCCAAGGCGAAGCGCCGGGAGCGGAAGAGCGCGGGCGGCGCGGAGAAATGACGCAACGCCGCGACTCCTTAAAGGCGCCGGCCACTCGCGCCGCGTTGGCGCAGGCGCGTGACGGGCCAACCCCTCGCCTCACAGCGCCGAGAGCTTGGCCCGGCGGGCGCGCACGCGGGCAGTGCAGACGGGGCGCGCGCCGGACGCAGGCTGTCCCCCGGGTCTGTCAGAGCCGCGTCGGGCGTGGGAGGGTCCTCCGACCAGCGGGCGCCGCGATGGCTGAGGGCAGCGCGGTCTCCGACCCTCAGCACGCCGCGCGCCTCCTGCGAGCGCTCAGCTCTTTCCGCGAGGAGTCCCGCTTCTGCGACGCGCACCTGGTGCTCGACGGTGAGGAGATCCCGGTGCAGAAGAACATCCTGGCCGCCGCCAGCCCGTACATCAGGTGAGCAGGGGGCCGCGGCGGGCCGCGCCGGGCCGGGTCGCGCTGCTGGGAGCCCGGGGGCGGGGCCGGCGGGGTGTGTCCCCGGAGCCCCTGGGTCTCTCCACTCCCCAGGCCCGGGGGCACCTCAGGCGCTACGGCTCGGCGCTCTCCACTCCCCGCCCTGGCGGATACCCGGGTCGGGCCCCGGCTGCCGGCGCCTCCGGGACAGCCTCTGTGGCTTCGGCCACCCCCCCCCAGGCCGCGCCCCTACCCCCACCAGCCCCTCTTCCTGAGTTGACCTCAGACCCGGGCCGCAGGTCCCCGGCGCTGTCTACCCTGGTTCCCCCCCGCCCGGCGCCCGCCTGGGCCTTAGAGTCCCGCAGGCCGCCCGACGCCTGCCTGGGGCAGCCCGGGATCCACACCCGGGAAGAGCCGCCCCGTCGCCAGGGCCCAGCCCGCGGGTCAGGGTTGAAGTTTGCCGGAGGTTCGCTTCCAAATCAAGGCGCCGTGGGCCGGGCCTGGCCCTTGAGCGCGCCCAGGAAGCGCCGCTCCCGCGGAGAACCCAAACAAACACTGCTTTCGGCGGGTGTGGGCACAGGTAAAACCTTACTGGAGCCTCCCCTGAGGACGGGCGAGCCGAAATTATTCTTAGCAGACGTGACTTTTCGACTTCTTTGGGGAACTTCGTTGAAAGGAAGGACTGTGCATTGCATACACGTTATGAATTTTTCAAAAGCTTGCTGTAGTTCTTGGGATGTGGTTACATCTCGAGAATCATGAGGTTTTAGCGCTTTAGAAAGCGTTTCAGAATTTGAGTTAAAGCAACGCTTAACCTGATTTGCCAGCTCAACTAACCAGGTTAATTGAAGGTTGGTAAGATTGCTTATACAAGTGTATCAGATCTGGCAGGGGGTTCTTACTTTTTCTAATAGCAGCAGTTTTCTCGCAAACTGGGTTACTATTTTAATAATAGAAAACAGTGCTAAAAGCTATGGAAACTGCCCAGTAAGCTGCTTATATATAGACTGATAGTAGGGAACATCACGAAAATTGACATATCAGAAAAAGCAAAATAATGTGTATTGTATTCTTAGTGCTTTGTCCTAGCAGAACTCTGCACACAAACTACCTTTTAACCTTTGTGTTAGGTGACATTGAGCTAACTCAGAAGCTGTTCAAGTGCTTATAACTTCTGGCCTTTTTTTTTTTTTTTTTTTTTTTTTTTTTTTGCCCATTTGACCTCTTTGTGAATTTAAAGGGACCCAGGTTGAGTGTGAGGGGAGGGGGGATGTCTGTGGAATTTAGATTGACAGTATGACAGCTTAAGACTGGCAGTTCAGAGGTATGAGCCATCAATACCAATTTGGAATCTATAGGCCAGCATCTTCCCTGTATCCAAAGTATCCCCTGTTTGGGGAAATCGCTTAGGAAAACTACTTTAGTTGCATTGTTAATAGTTTTTCAAGCTGCATCGGTTTGCTTAGAAGAAGATTACAAATCACCAACTGCATAGCACTTGCCACTATAATATGCTCTGTGTTTTACTTATTTACTTAGTCCAACTTCCCCAATCACAGTGTAAGCTCAGTGAGGCCAGGGATTTTTCTTTTGATCATACCTGTGACTCTAGCACCCAGAATAATGCCTAGTGGTTTAGGGAAGGTGTTGACTGAGTGACCCCTTCCTTTCAACTACAGCCAACTGGATATGAGAGAACTGGCGGTGCTGCTTTTCCATTTCACTCACTTACCCCTAATTGAGAAGGGCATTGAACCTGCGTTCTACTTCCACCTTTTACTCTTCTTAGCCCTTAGTTGTTGGTAGATGACTGAATCTGGAGTTCAGCTCATTAATCTGATAAATGAGGGATAAAAATGTGTCTTCATCTGATTTCATCTTTCACCCACCCTGTAAAGAGATATGTAATAGTACTTTGAACATCTCACTGGTCTGCATGTAGGTCTGCACACAGGTCTGCAAAGGTAGCTATATTCCCTGCTCCATCTACTGAATTAGAAAAAGGTGAGGTGTCCATTTCTGACAGTATATTCATATTCTGATGAGGATAAGTACTATTAAACATTATTAACTTGTTAACAGCAGAATTTTAGGTGTGAAATATTACTAATCATAGTAGTAGAGTTGAAAGGGACATCAGATTTCTGTTTCAATCCTGTTACTTTCCAAAGAAGAAAATGGGGCTCATGGGATGCTAGTGACTTGTTTTATGAAGTAGGGATTATGGGTTCTTAGTGGTAGAACTAGAACTAAGTTAATGATGCCTAATCTACTGTTTCACCATGCCAACTTAATGCATTACTTCTTTTACCATGCCAACTTAACAGCATTCTTTATGTAAACTCTACCACTCACAAAATATTATAATTTAAGTGTTTAGCATTTTCACATACAGTTCTTTCTCTACTTCTGATAGGCTGCCATCCCAATAAACCCATCAGAACTTGAAAGTGCATCTCATACACCTGAGATCATCACTTAGCCTAGCCTACCTTAAAGGTTCTTAAATACTTATATTAGCTAATAGTTGAGCAAAATCCTCTAACACGAAGTCTATTTTATAATATGCTGATTAGCTCATGTAGCTTCTTGGCTGTTTCCCCTTGGCTGACGCTGTGCTGTGGGCTCGCTCCCATTGCTTACATCACAAGAGAACATCATAGTGTGTATGTTAGCCCAGGAAAAGATCAAAATTCAAAGGATGGTTTCTACTGAATGGGTATTGCTTTTGCACCATCCTGAAGTCAAAAACCAAGTGGAACCCATCTGTGCTGTCCCCTTCAGATTTTCATTTTCAACCAGAAGGTAGGGCAGATATTTTTAACATGTTGCTGATAAATGTGAATCAGTTCATCTGTGTTTTCAGTGATTAATTAAGTTTATGTGACTGTCCTGGCTGTAGAATGTTCTTGGGTACTTTTAAAATTACCAATCTCAGAACTACTTAAAAGTAAATTGGGCTGTCTTACTACTCAAACTGCTCAGTAATTTTTGATACTATTGATATTTTATAATGTATCTGTTTTGCTTTAAAGGATTATATTGAACCAAAATGAATTTGTCTATCTAATTTATATTTGTATATAAGTTAATGTTTCTTTCCTTCCTTATACATTTAGGTCTACGATGTCTTTAATATATGGATTTGGTGTACGAAAATTTGGTAGTCTTTGAAGTTTTATAAAAGTCTGAGTCTTGTTTACTATCTTTAGTTAACCTTATTTTAGTAACTGTTGTAAGCCATCTAAAGTTGTTTGGCTTAGCAGCATGTTATATATTGCTTCTATGTGCTCCACAAAGGAGACCAGTCCAGCTGTGTCACACCAGGAATTAAAGCCACTCATTTGACGTACTTTCTATTTAATAGGGATGTCTTTTAACCCAGTTTTTTTAGTTTAATCTTTTCCTCTGTTTTACCTTTGGTTCATAGTGGTTTTCTCTCCATATCGTCTTAGCGATACCACCTTAGAAAGATTTACAGTATGAAAAGAAAAAGCCAGCAAACTCAACTTCAGCAGCAAAACCGTAGTGATAATCTGAAACCTGAAATAAAAGGTGCACTGCATGTGTCTTTGCAGCCTTAGGAGCCAGTTGCAACAGGAATGCAGGTGGTACCTTCCCTTGTCCATCCTGCAGCTCAGTAAGAAGACGGCTGCTTAACCAACATGCCCTCTTCCCAGTGTTCCTGAATTCTGACCCTTGAATAACATTTCTTTCTTTGGTTTGTTGGGAATATTAAATGTAGACATAGCTGACTACCATTAAGAATGCTGAAATTGAATTCATAGATAGAACAACCCATCAAATCTTCTCTTTCTCAGCAACCCTGAGACCTTCTGGGAAGATTTTCCTGGGACTTACAGGAAATTTCCCTTGCCAGATTTGCTTAGTTTCATATTCAAGACTCAATTGTCACACAGTCCTCTTAATCTGATAGAGCTCAGACCCCATTCTCTCAAGAGCTTGGTTCTTGGGGAGTAAATGTATGTGAAAAGGATTTGAAAATGAATTGCTGTGTGATTCTGCAGTGATATTTTAGTGGCTCTGTACAAACTAGTACTGTATTCACTTTTGAGAATTTTGGTTATTCTGGGGAAGTCCTGGAGAGAAAAGCAAATAAAAATACCCAAGATTTTTGGGTTCTTTAATGAGTCAGCCAACAAGAAAGATGGTAATTTTTCTCCTTGTCTTTTTAAGAGAAGCCTCGTCTTCTGATGGAGTGGACACACTGTGCCCCGAATCCATACAGGTCATCTTAGACAAGTGTTCTGGGTCTTAGTTTCCTCTTCTGTGAAGTAAGGTTAGTTGGGGACTGTTTCTGCTCTCAAAGCTTTATGGTGTCCTTTAAGTTTTGTTTTACATTGACATTAAAACATTTCCTTTGCCCTGCCATACAGGACTTTTTGGGTCTTCTGCTATATAAATCCAGCTTCTTGGAGATGTTTTGTAACAAGCATTTATTTTATGCTGTTGATCTGGCTGTGTTCCAAGGTCTAATTATTGATGAACCTGTTGTGCTATTTAAATCAAAATTTGACTCATAGATGATGCTGATGAAACTACTTAAGGAGACTAATACAGTCTCTGTAGGAGGTCCAAGTTTCATAGTCACATAGAAATGGTCATCATTCTTTCTTTGGATACCTGAAACTTGCCCTGTAGTTTTCCATCACATGGGCTCTAAGAGTTCGTTAGTGTTGTCTGCCATGCACAAAGCATGCACTCTGTCTTTAGCTCTCACTTGGACCAGGGAGGGGTTCATGGCCCTCTATGTATACAACAGTTTTTTTTTAGTTTGGCCGTAAGGATATTGGATGGCAGTTATGATCTGTTAAATTTCTTAGTGCTCAGGATTCCCCTCAAAGCTCCAGAGTCTGAGACTTAGTGAATCCTGAGCTTTCTTAAAAGTCAGATTGACTACACCAGCCTCTTGCTGCACTCTAATGGTGATGGGAAATAAGTCAAACTTGCATATCTCTTCATGAATCTAGGCCTTGTTTGTTTTTATCACTTACTGTGAGGCAGCCTTATTGACTGCTTAAAAGAGGAACTCTGTCTTGAAGGGCTTATAGTTCATGAGTCTTTCAAAAATGATATTAAGGTTTGTTCAATTTCAGAAGATCAGAGAAGTGTTTTGTCTTGACTTCTAAGGAAGATAAGCCCATATAAATTGGAGTTCGGCTGAGGTTTAGCATAGACTATTCATTTCAGCCTGATAATATCTATTTATTTGTACAAGACAGTGATTGCCACTCTAAGTAGCAGTGTGTACTCTGATTCTGCAGAGGTTTTGGATGATGAAATGATGAAACAAATCAATAAAATTCCTGTTAACCTAGTGAATCTAAGATGAAATGAAGTGTTGAATGTTTAAATTTATTCTAGAACTTCCCTAAGCAAAGTTTGAGTAATGAGTAACGTGTTAGAAGTAAGTCTTGGCACCAGTGAATGTTTTTAATTGCCAACTCTCGTTCTCTGACCTATGCCTTTTGACTTCTACCTCTTTTTATAGTGTTTTCTTTCTCCTATAAGTAGTCTTTAGTATTCTAAGAGTAACTTTTATTCTGTAATTTAGAGAGTCAAATGACATGCTTTTCCAAGTAGAAACCTTGGTTCCTTAGGATATAGATTTGAATAAGATAGACAAAATATCCAGATTACAGAACCACCTTATCCATTGCTTGAAGTGTTATTCAGATCATCTCATGATGTCAAAGTGATACTTAAAATTATTTATAATCCATAAAGAAAACATAACTAGGACAAATAAGGAGTCATTTGGCTTATGGGTATCATGTGGTAAGTCCTTTGGGGTGCTTCATCACCCTTCAGAAGGCTATGGATCTGCTTATCATGTACCTAACTTCAATTCCAAGTTAAGGGTGCAGATGCAGTGGTGTGAGTGTGGGAAGTGGCAGGCGGTGGTTGCAACCTTGAATTTGAGCGTTTCCCGTGGTAGGAAATCGAAGGCTTTGATAAAGGTGGCAGCTGCAGCTCTAAGAATGGTAAAGGTCGAGTTTCCCTCTTGACCCCTGTGCTTGAAGAGCAGAGTCAAGTCTTCCTGAGTACTTAATCCCAAAGAGTGACTTCACCATAGAATGATAGTCTAATGTTTATAACTTCTATTTTCTGTGGAAGTAAATTATAGTATTTTTCCTCTGTTCAGAGATGTTAGATAATAGGATACTTGGGGGAAATAAGGTCTTGGTGAAATATTTTGTTAGATAAAACAGAATTAGCCTTCAAGCAATGAAACTCTCAGAGGGAACATATATCATAAATGGAAGATGGGAGGACTGGTTATAAAAAACAGAATGTTGAATAATGGAATGTAGATCAATAAAATAGCCTTTATTTTCCTTTTTTGGAGTTAATGTTCTAATGGATGCAGAAATGTATATTTTTACTTATAGGTATTTCAGATTTGCTTAATTATTGAATATTTCTGTATCATTTTAGAAATAATTTAAAGGCCATTTGAGTCATAGGATTTTTATATCAATATGGTAAGATGAATAGAAATACTGTGAAACAGTTTTACAGTCATATTGGCATTCATCAGTCACCAATTTCTCATGCCTCTGAATAATTGTAAATTGTTGAATATTACTGAGCTTAAAGTATTTCCAGATTTTTCTCACTTAAATTGTATCAGTTGTCACTGAAATGGAGAAACCTCACATTTAGGTTGTGAGTTTGGTGTGGGTCTTTTCAAATCTATAAAGCACATTCTTAAGGTGCAGCCTGAAAGAGTGGGATTGTGAGGAGCAGAGAATCCTTAGAAAGAAAAGCCTTTGATAATCGTTTTCCTCCTCCCTTTCTGGCCACCACCCACCTGCCTTCTGCTTCAGAGAGGGAACTGAAGGCCGCAGAACCCATCCTGTCTTACATCATCTTCTTTGGGTCAGTAAAAGGTTAGTGTCCCACAATTTCCAGCCTTTCTTCCTATATAAAGCTAGTGTGGGAATATTTAGGGACTTCACTTTGAATATGGTTTGGTGGATTGCTTGCTTGTTTTCCTGCCTGCCTCCTTAAAACTTACCTGCCTCTTGTGAGCAAAGCTCCTAACTTTGTGCCTGGCCTGAAAAGGACAATAATCCCCATTGTTGACTGGGAAGGAATAAAATTCTCATTTTTGTCACCTCCCACAGTGAGGCAGGAATAGAGTAATTGGCTCTGCTTACTCTATTTACAGTCTTTTTTTCCCTCCTTCCCAATAAAGGGGAATATGAAAAAATCTATCCACCACTTGCACAGCCATCTGTGCATTCCTCAGGATTGTCATAACTGCCGTGACCTGTTTGCTGGTGGGATTATGTTAACCAATAATAAATAACAGTGCAAGAATCAGCATTATTGAAAAATACGTTTCAGTACCTTCAATACTGTGTATTAATTCATAACAGACACATCCACAGTAAAGGAATCTTACGTAATTAGGGTTGACTGTTCTGGGGCTTGAGTATGGGTTTAGTCATTTGTTCAGCAAGTACGCAGGAGCTAGTATGTATCAGTGACAGGTGCTGGAGAGACTGTGGCAGTGAAGAGACAAACCTTCTGAGGCTCAATTCTTTTTTCTTGTGTGCTGCTGCTGTTTGAGTGGGTGTTGAGTGATCTCCTATAAACAGTGCCCAAACTGAGACTGAGTAATGTGGAGTCGCTATTTTTTCTACCTCTTTGGGGCTAGCAAAAGCAATAAACATAAAACTAATGGTTTCACCTTTATTTTTGATGTTCACTTAATTTTTCATTACTGCATATCTTACAACTGTGTGGTGGGGTAAGAACTTCAAGAATGAGAACAGAATAGGTATACTTTATTTTTGGAGGAGACACTTTTGAAAGTCTGCTCCAAAAGTGTATTTAATTGACTCATCTGATCAGTCACTATGTTCGTAACCCCAGTTAATCACTTTTACAGAAACAGCGTTAAGTAGAAAACACAGATTTATGGTCGAGTTTCTCCAGTATGCTTGTTCACTCACTAAAGTTTTCTTGAGTGTTTATGTGAGGCCCTGCCATGAACTTGGCAGACAGCGTCTCGGCATCCATGGAGTCCAGCTGGGGAGCTAACACAGAAACGTCTGATCGCTGTGAGATATAAGCACCGGGAAGGAAATCAGCAGAGGATGGGCACTGTTCTAGCCTGGGCGATGGGAACACCTATCTGAGAACATATTTAAGCTCAGGTCTGAAGGAGGAAGGTGAATGGACATGAGCAGAGCTGAGGAGAGGGAACAGAGATGTTCCAGGTCCATTCGGCCTTCAGGGAGCAGAAGAACATCAGTGTGAGGGTGACCGTGAGCAGTGGGTGCAGTAGCCGGTGATCCAATGCTCAGGGACGACAGAGCCTGTTGTCCTGAGTTCAGGTTGATAATTACACTGCACCTCATAGATGACACTGGTGGTAACATTTCCCTGAGTAGCTAAGGAGCTGGCTGGGGAGGTAGTGGGTATGGGATAAGAACCTCGAAAATGTGGTCAATCTATAAGAGAGAAATTAGGTTTTATTTTTAAGGCTTAGAGTAGGCATTCACAGGCTTTAAGCAGCAGAAGAAAAAGTCTTGTGTATATTTAAAGGTGTTTTTTAATGCTGACTGCAATATTTAAAATGGATTGTTAAAGTTAAGAGTGGAAGCAGATGTCATGCAGGAAGGCACTGCCTTGTTGGGACAGGAATCAGGATGGCTGGAGTGCCTAGATTAGAGGTACTGGCATAAGGACTTTCGGTGAGGAGCGCCAAGGAGACGCTGTGCTCCCCCTCACCAGGAAACCATGGGTGTCAGTGCGGCTGGGAGTGCTGATTTAGGGATGGCTAGAATAATTCTATAAAGTGCAGACTTTGCTCTCAAGGATTTCTATTGTGAAAAAAAAAAAAAAAATAAGAAGATAGACCAAAAGTCATTTTAATTGTATAGGTACTTCTAGGTGTTCTGAGGAGAAAGAAGTACAGGCACACCTTATTTTATTGTGTTTTTACTTTATTGAGCTTCACAGACACTGCATTATTTTTTTTATTTTTTGCAGGTAAAAGGTGTGTTGGCACCATTTTTCCAACAGCAGTAACTCACTTTATGTCTCTGTGACACATTAATTTAAGACCTATACATTGTGTTTTTAGACATAATGCTATTGCACACTTAATGACTATAGTAGAGTGTATATAAAGTTTTGCTAACTTGTATATACACTGAAAAATCATGGAACCCACCTTAGTGTGAGACTTGCTTTTGTGCGGTGGTTGATCTGCCACTGAACCCACAGCATCTCGGAGTCTGCCTGTAGTTCGGTGATCACCTAAGGCTCTATGGAGGAAGCAGTCTTCGAGCAAAGTCTTGGAAAGAACGAATAGTAGGGCAGATTGGTGAGGTGCAGAAAGGGGTGAAAGGAAAATCATTCAGGCAAGAGAGGTGAGTGCAGGCAAATGATTGGACTGGACTTAAGCTGGGATAGGAGTGGTTTGGAGCATGGATAACAGGCAGAGCAGATAAGTGTACTCTAGAGTACTGCGTTAATTGCTTTAGATTTTTATTCAAGGTTACTTGGTAACCATTAATAGTATTAGTAATATGAATGGACTCCACTTTAAGAAGGTGACTTAATGGTTGCATGTTCCGAGGACTGGCATTGCTGAACAGTGCTGTGGCCCAGCACAGCATCAGGGACTGGGGAGGAAGGCAGCTGGCTGCTGAGGAAGGAGGAGATTAGCAGGGGTTGAACCTGGCTGCTTAGGGAAAGTGGGGAAGAGACTTTGTCTCTTTGAATTTGGAATAACATTGCTCTGCAAACACTTTAACTATATTCTTGTAGTTCTTGAAAATTCTATGTAGTGCTTCACATACTTAGAAATGCACGTGGTTATTTTTGCACATGTTGCCTGTCACTGCTTTTGTTGACCTCCTACTCTTTTCTGGCAGATGAATTTGTATTCATCCTTAGAGACTTGGTTTCAACATCCCTTCCTTTGTTACATATCCCCAATTCCCAATAGCCACTCCCTCTTACAGGCTTCTGGAGTGAGGGTGTGTCTCCCCAGTGTGGCCTGTATCTGTCTCTTACTCAGTTGATGGACTGGGTGCTTTTAAAGCTCTCATCTTTTATCGCTGAGGCCAAAGACACCAAACCCATTAGTGGAAATTCCATGCAGGCTGTAAGTACTGATGAAGAAGATGAGCATTCGGGCTGTTATCTACACTGGCTTCCAAGAGATGAAACATTCTGCCTTAACTTTTTAAGGTGTAGCTGAATATGTATTGGAGACAAAACAAAGCATCGTGCAACAGAGTTAGTTTACTCTGTCAGAGTCTTTCATTTTGTGCTGTTAGATGGCACCAGTAACTCAGTAGAGTCCATTTCTGCTGCCAAGAAACCTGGGAGAAGAAGGGACCAAATTCTGTATTCAGAAAGAGTGGCTCTAGAGAGTGAGCTTCTGTTAAGACATGACTAAAGGATTAATAGAAAAGCATTCATTCCCCTGACAATATTCTGGAAGGCATTTTCTGCTTCAAGTTGTTGGGAGACATTTATCACAATAGATTATAAATTAAGGGCGGTACCAGAAGGAAAGGGTAGTTTTAAAATGTAAGTGAAGCTCATTTCAGAGGGAGCTGACTCTTATTTATTAAGAGAAACTGGAAGGGGGTGTGTTTGAGGCTGTAGTTGTTTCGGCTTAGGGTTTGTTCCTGCTATCTCTTTAAAAAAAAAAAAAAAACAGCTTCTCAGCCTTCACTTAATGTTTTGGTTTTGGTTGGAATTGCTTTGAAAGGAGAGCTACCAAAATGATCTTAAATTCACATTTATTTATTTTCCTTTAGATGTATTCAGGAGTTCTACTTTCTCTACCTACCTTCTGACTCTTTACATTGGGAAGAAAAAGTGGAAAGTGAGTAGGAATATGTATCTTCTGAAATAGGGAGCTTTTGTGGTACTTAGTTCCATTTGTATGCCATAGAAAAAAGAACCAGATCCGCCAGTTTTTAATTAGAGAGGGAAAACTTGAAGCAAGCCCCCCAATCAAAGGGGCTTACTCTTGACATGATCATTTGCATGGGGTCTTAGGGTTATAAGAGGAGCCTGTTTTAAATAGCATCTGGAAAAATAATGCCTAAGTAGAAAATCTGGAACTGTCTGACACGTTGTGGCATGAATGTCTCTCTTTTATGTGTATTTCCAAAAGGTCAGGGTGTGACCAGAACAAGGCAGCAGGCTTGTTTCATTCTAGAAGAATGTTTTGCTTCACAAGTCGCTGCATCATGCTTCTGTCTTTGAACTCATCTTAAAATCTTAACTTGCATTTTCAGACTTTGTCTTTTTAAAATTACAAGAACTAAATTTAAATTTTCAGAATTTCCCCCCCCCACAAATAATTGTGGAAAATCACATGATAGTTCAATTATTTATGTCACTCCACATTAATTTCTGGCTCTGAACAGTGTACTTAATATATTTTTATAGCTCTAATCTGCCTGTGCATATTACTTATGGTTCATCTTTTCACTTAAAGTCAGTTCATGTCCCTCTTTTCTTATTTCTTAATATAATGCCAATAATCACTTTTATTAGCTGTTATTACATCATATTGTTGTTACATATAATTTGCTTAATCATTTCTCTTTTTGACATTTTAATTTCCAGTTCCTTTTCCTTCTGAGTAGTGATACTATAAACCAATTAGAAAAAAACTGGGTGTTTTTTTTTCCCCCATGGATATAAGTAAACCTACTTTGGGGCTATGTCCCCAGTATATCTATTTCTGGAAATAGAAGCAGAAACCAGACTATTACCTGGGAAGTCTGGATAATCATATAAAGAGCCTTGCAGTTTATTTTTTTTTCCTCATATCTATCACCATTGCCCCATCACTTTTACAAGTTGCTTCTCAAAGTTATTATTTTGCATATCAGTGAACTGGATT